GCCTCGAATCCTCCATGAGCTTTGAGAGGCACCGTTTGGCTGTGAGTGAGAAGGTTCCCAAGGGTGAGGAATGAATTAGGTTTCCCTCTTCACGGCGGTGACCCCCCTGGGACCCACATTGCCTACGTGCTCAGGAGGAAGCCCACGGCTCCATTTTACTGGTTTCTAGTGCAAGATCAAGTTTACAGGATGGAGGGAGAAAGGGCTTATGAGGAGGCAGAGAGAAAGTGAGACTAAGGGACTTGGCTCTAATCCAGAGGAAGAAGAGCTGTATACCAAGTCATCGGAGCCACAGAGCGTTCTTGGGTCACCAAATTTCCCACCTTCTAACAATGACAATATCCAGTGGCAGAGGCTGGTTTCGCTGCTGGAGTTCACCTCTGGGGGAAGAACCAGAGGGATGGCAGGCTCCCCTGAGCTGTCAGTGTGGCCGAGGCTGCAGAGGGCAGGGGAATCCCACGTCCCTCGTCCCACGTCCCTCCTCGAGGGAACAGAGTGAGGGGCTTGTTGGGGCCACGGATGCCGTGGCTGCCAGCGAGCTTGGGTGGAGAGAAAACAGAGTGGAAAGGATTTTGGCTGGGTTGGTGATTTGGGAGAACTTAGACTATAAATAGTGAGGAGGATGTAAAAAGCCTCAAGGGGATTTTGGAAGCCCTAAATCTACCACAGAGATCCAAGCAGGATCCCAGGGACCATTTAAGTTTTAGTAACATCTAAATGTAACTCGGCACGGTGCCCGACCGCCCCACGCTTCTGCTGTCACCACAGCCCTTGCCAGTGTCTGCCAAACCGAGGACACACATCTTGGGGAGGTTGGCTGCCAGCTTGAGAGAGGCAAGGTCTGCCCTTATCTTGCACGGATCACCTCACTCGCTCTCCACAAGGAGATACGGCTTTGGCTATCACGAACGGCAAAGGAAACTGAGGCCTGGGATCATAGGCGATCGGAAGTGGCACAGCCTTCGAGGGCCAGGCTGGATCCCATGCTCAGCCCAGAGCCCACATCCCTCCTGGCTGCTGCCCCACTGTGCCTCAGAGGCCGGACGGCCGAGACCGTTCTCAGGCAGTCCCGTAGGAAGTTACACTAAAATCAGCAGAAAATCAAAGCAGGGTGTGGAAAGACACGTGAATGCCTTTGTGTCTTGCTCCATGGGGCCTCATGGTCACCAGACTTCTCTCGTCTACACAGACCCTGTTTCATTTCCCTTGTTGACTTGCCATAAAAGCCCCTTTGCTCCCCTGTGGTCCCAGCTCTGCCAGCCTGAAGTTTGCCCTAGTCACAGGCCTGTCCGGTGGAAACTGAGACCCAACTCTCGTGCCCATGGCCCTGGGTCCCCTGCTGGCTCCTGGATATCTGCACCTGAATCTTCTGGTCTTGACTCTTTCAGGAAAATCGCTGTCACCTAATATTGAGAGAAAGATAACCTGGAAAGGGTGACATTGAGAATTATATAGCTGGCTATCACATTTGTAGGAAAAAAAAATCCAGGACTCTAATTAATTTTATTTTTAAACCTATTGGATTCCCTTCACTGCAGTGTTTACCCACATCAGACCAGGCAATCCCTTCCCCAAGGTTCTGGAAGAGGAAAACACTAGATCCGAGGTCTCATCTTACTTAAACAAGGGTAGAAACAAGATCACCAGGGCTAAAGATTCAACTTACCAGCGAGGACACCGAGGCCCATGGAGCCCCGAGAGATGAAAAGCAGCTACTGAGGCCCAACACCCAGCCGGGCCCTGATCTGGGCATGAGAGAGCCCGTGACCAGTCGTCATGGTTGGGCCACAGAGCATAAGGCAATACAGCTAGAGTGAGCAATTCTGCCTGGGGACAAAGACGGGGAGCGCTGGCGCGTGGGAGGGGTACTTTCGGTTAAGGAAAGCTTCACAGAGGAGGGGACCTGTGGGGTAGGCCTGTGAGCACGAGTGTGTGGACAGCCAAGAAAGGCATGCCCAGGGAGGAAGTGGTGAAAGCCAAGCCGCCCGGGCCTGAATGGCTAGTTAGCTGGGAACAGCGTTTGGCCCCATGGCAGGGCAGGAAGAGCAAGAAACATAGCACTGGCTGGTGAAGGCACCAGGGCTGTGTCCCTGACTTTGGGCTCCACCCTGTTGTGGCGAAGACTTGAAACAGTCGAAGGGAACTAAGCCTCGAGTTAGTGGGTTGGGGGAACTACAGGCTGACGCCAGATTCACCAAGCGGGAAGTGATCAATGATAGCCCGGGTGTGTGCCTCGGGCCACACACTCGGACCACGGCAGGGATGGGCGCCGTGCGGATGGGGAGGAAGGAGCAGGACGAGATGTCAGAATCAGGAGGAAACCACCAAGGGTCACTGAGGGAAAGGCTCATCTGCGAATACCACAGGGGACCTTTGAGGGCAGTGTCTGGGCAGGTTGGAGGTGAGGAGGCTGATGTAGGTCGCTCCGGGTTTAAGAGGCCTGAGACAGTGAAGGTGTTGAGGCAACAGATAAAGATGAGGGAGCCAAGATGTGGCCCTCTGAAGACAAAGAAAGGCTGCAGACAGAAGTTTGAGAACATCTGAGGAGAGGCTGGTTGGAGCAGTGGGAGCATTCCTCTGCGCCTTCCACTCTTCTTGGGATCAAGTCCAAGTTCTTTCTTTCTTTTTTTTTTTTTGATTTTTAAAAAATTTATTTGAAAGAGAGAGAGAACTTGAGAAGGGGGTAATGTCAGAGGGAGAAGCAGGGAGCCTGATGCGGGACTTGATCCCGGGACTCTAGGATCAAGACCTGAGCTGAAGGCAGATGCTTAACCAACTGAGCCATCCAGGCACCCCTAAGTCCAAGTTCTTGCTGGGGTTGATGAACGGTTACAGCCTAGCCTCTGGCTGTCCTTCCTGTCCCCTCTTATTCCATCCCCTCTGCCTCATTAGGTTTTCCACCACAACACTTTCCTCCAGCCTCAAGGCCTTTGCACACACCGGTCCCACTGTCGAGTGCCCTGCAGGGAGATGGTAACACCTGGGTAACCCAGCTAGGGATGGGGGAGACTGAGCTAATCTCAGCTTCTCTCTCGCCGGTGTCACCAATTTCCTTCCTGCGAGTAATTGGTGTGGTTTCTAGTTTCCCACTTAGACCTGACTGATGGTCCACTCCTCTGGATAGTTACTATTTCTTCAAGCTCAGCTTAAAAGTCACTTCTGTCAGGAAGTCTGAACCTCCTAGTTCTATGCTCTTCTAGGATCTGAAGACCCCACAGGACGTGGTGGAGGGAGACCATAGGAGAGCTTGGGGGCTTCATAAGGACTTTGATTTTGCTCTGGGTGAGACTAGAAGCCTTGGGAGAACTCTGAGCCAAGAAGCCGCCTATATGACCTTGGTTTTGATGTGATCCTTTCATGTGTTGACACGAGTTTCAAGGGGGCAAGGGCAGAATAGGGGGGCATTTTAGGAGGCTACTGTGTTCCTCCAGGTGAGGGACGAGAGTGGTAGTGGTGGGAGTGGTGACAAGCGGTCAGACTCGCCTTGGATTGCCAATGTAGAAACCACCAGATTCACGGACAGCCCAGGAGCGAGCGTGAGTGGAGGGGTCAAGGAGGCCCACAGGCTTTGGAGCGGCCCTTCACTGCGATGGGGGAAAAGTGGGCATGGGGTGGGGCAGGGAAGATCAGGAGCTCAGTTTTTGTGATGTGCCTTAGCTACCCTAGTGGAGAAGTCGTAGGCTCTCTGGAGCTCAGGAACGAGGTCCAAGCCAGGGACACGTGATGGGAACCATCAGCATGTTAACAGGTACCCTCGTTTACGGGAATGGTGAACATCGCCAGGGGAGTGAGAGTCAAGGAGAGATAAACCGGAGAACTGGGGCTGGGGCACTGAAGGCTAAGAAGGAAAAGTTCTTGGGGACTGGGAGGGACAGCCACTGAGCTGGGGAGGGGTGTGTCCTGGGGGCCGCAGGAGGAATGCTTGAGGGGCAAGAGGTGCTCCACCTGCCAAATGCTGCTGGAGGGGCTCCTAGGACAAGGACTCAGAACGGTCCCCTGGATTTAGCAGCTCCAGGAGTTGGTGACGGTGACAGCGCGTGGGGGTGTGACCTGATTGAAGTGAATTTGAAACAGGGCGTTACAGGAGTTGAGACAGCGGGTGAAGGCAACTGTTTTGAGCATTTTGTTTTGCTATGAAGGGAAGACAGGAAATTGAAGAGTAGCTTCCATTTTTTTCCCAAGGTTTTTTTATTTTTTGAAAATTTTTTTTAAAATGGGTGGAATAGGGGCGCCTGGGTGGCTCAGTAGGTTAAAGCCTCTGCCTTCGGCTCAGGCCATGATCCCAGGGTCCTGGGATCGAGCCCTGCATCGGCTTCTCTGCTCGGCGGGGAGCCTGCTTCTCTCTCTCCCTCTGCCTGCCTTTCTGCCTACTTGTGATCTCTGTCAAATAAATAAATAAAATCTTTAAAAAAATAAATAAAGATGGGTGGAATAATAGCATATTTGTCATGAAACAGAGATAATTCAGAGGGAGAACCTTGGCCAAGAGAAGTGTACAGAGATAATTCAGCAGTTGGCGCAGGGGTGTCCCATCTGGTGAGATGGGGTGGGGTCAGGCAAGATGGGAGTAGAGGTGCTCCCCAGGAGTAGGGCGTGCCCACCTACAGCAAGGGTGGGGGCGGGGTGGGGGGGCGAGGCAGAGCCACAGGGCTGGTGCGCAGGGGTAGGGTGGGGTGAGGTGGGGTGGGGAGGTGTCTCCTTGGAAAGAGCTAAGAAGGAAGGAAGCAAGAGAGGAGGACGAGGACAGGTGGGAAATGCAGAAAGGAGGTACAAACAGCCATTGAGAATGGGAGGGTGGGGGTTTTCAGCATCACTGTAGAGGTGTGCAATGAGGAATGTCTGGGGAGACCCTGGCAGGTTTTATTTTTTCCCCAACTGCTGTTGGTTGGTTGATTGCCCCTGTGGGTGCAGCTGCTGAGTCAGGAGGGAGCTGGGTCCATGGTGACACTCAAGTGAAGACCAAAGTGACGTTTTCCAGGACTTCACCTGAGAAGGAGAAAGGAGAGGAAGAGAGATGGCACGAAGGGGCAAGATGGTGATGGTGCCTTTGCAGGGTGAGGAGCTCCAGTAAATATGCCGCTGAGGGAAAGATCTGGAGAGAGGAAAGAAGGAACAGGTCAGGAGTGTGGGCAACCAGCAGAACAAGATCCCACAGAGGGAGGGATGCCCTGAGGACCAGGCAACAGGGGAGGCGTGGCTTTGAAGAGGCGCAGGAGGGCAGAAAAGTAACCCCTGTTTGTGCCTCCTGGCCTTTGTTTCCTTGGAGGAAGAGAGAAACTGGAGGGTGGGATCTACCCTCCAGGGAGGGGAACGTCCCAGGAAGAATCCTGCAGCCAATCCTGCCGCCCTCTCCAGCCAGGCGTTTATGTCCCCTGGGAGGCACTCTCCCCACTTTCTATTTCTACACCCCAGTTCCCAAAATGATTCCTGTCGAGAAAGGACTCGTGTCTAGCTCTTCTTCTCCCTGGCCTATGACTGCAAACCCCTGACTCCCACCTCATCTTCTGCCTCGCTCCATTTGCCGTGACTATGAAGGGAGCCAACTTCTAATTTATTCTCACCCAGGAAGAGTACTTAGGCAATGAACCCGAAACTCAGCCTGGAGTCGGAGTGACGTCTTCACAGACGAGTAAGATGTATAGCCTGCTGCTGGTGTGCCAGACTTGGGTAAAGGGCAGTGTGGTCCTGAGGCTGAGCTTGGCACAAGGGTGGGGAGCTGGCTTTGGGGCAGCCCCCACTTCCTTCCTTCTCTCTCTTCTCTCAATAAATATTCATTTGTGGTCCACCCTGTGCCAGCAGGATCTATAGGAAGGTGATGTAATAGAAGCAGAGAAGGAGATGGTAGAACCTGCCGGGTGCCCACCTGCCTTCCTAGCACAGCCTCTTGCAAACAGATCTCTGGTGTTGCTCACTCCAGGTAGTAATGTTTCCACAGGAGAAAAAACCAAGACCCCTACAAACCAACCTGGGTAAGCCATTCATGTGGTCAATGATGACTTGGCCCATGGGGTAGGCTTGTGACCCAGTTCTGATCAGTAGAGCCAGAGGAGAAATGAACCGGGTGTCCTGCCTTTCCTTCCTTGGATGCTATCTTGAGAGAATAGTGTTCCAGTCTAGGGGAGTGATTTAGGCACAGGAGGAGAAAGCCAGACAAAATACAGAAAAGCTATCCTTTTTTTTTTTTTAATTAAAGAGAGTATTTATTTATTTGACAGACAGCGCACGTAGACACATGCAGGGGGAGTGGGAAAGGGACAAACATGTTCCCCACCGATGCGGGGCTGGATCCCAGGATCCCAGATCATGACCTGAGCTGAAGGCAGACACTTAACCCACTGAAACACCCGGGCACTCCCAGAAAAGCTATCTTGAGCCCTGACATCACTGAGCTGCTGAATTAACAACATAGGTTCCACCTATCACCAAATTCCAACTTTACTGTCCATGCTCCTTTTACTTGGGTATTCTAGCACTTAAAACCAAAGACATTCTAACTGCTGCACAGAGGAGGAAATAAACAATTGTAATTTATTATCACACGTGGCTCTGGGCCTCCTGGAAGCCATGGCAAAAAGGGAAACCAGATAAATTGTAAAGTTCTAGTTAGTAGTCGGGGAAGAGCTTGTTAGGGAGTTTCTGCTTTTTTGCTCCTAAATTCCTTGTTTGACACTAAATTTCCACGTGGGAGTTTATGAAAGGAACACTAAGATACATAATTGCGAGATAATTGTTTTGCAGGAGAAGCAGTTTTTACAAGGCTCTTTCTTAAGACAATGAGGATCTAGATATAAAGGGAAAGTCTAACCAGAGAGGCAAAGACTGGGTGGGAGTGGAGTGGGCTTTGCACTGCTCCATTCCCTTCCCCACCTTGGATGGTCAAACAACTATACCCCTCCCTTTCCTGCTCCCCACCCCAATGAGAGGAGTAGAGTCCAACATCAATCAGAGCCCACACTGAGGAGACTGACTAGATCTATGGGCATTAACACAGAATGGGAGGCAGAGCACCGAGAAGGAAGGAAAAGGGGAAGACCCCTGACCCACCACTCAGAGGGAGCAGCTGCGGGTGGGATCTGGGATGGATGAAAAGGAGAGAAAAGAGGAAGTGTGAACATAAGAAAGTGCAATCAGGGGGGCACCCTGGGTTTCCAGAAACTCAGAAACTCAGGGACTGGGGTGAAGGGGCAGGAGGTAAGGAGAGCTCTGATCTTTCCTAGGCCCTCCCTCATCCAGGATGTTAAAATTTGAGAAAATATGCAACCAGGCATGGCTCAAGGTTGGAACGTTTCCACGCCCACACGTGAATCCCATGGAGGAACAGAGCGTGCAGCCTTGCCCAGTTCATCCTGCTGACTCTGGCACTCCTGGTGGCCAGCAGCAGCGTGGTCCCCACTGTCACAACTGTTGAGGCTGGGCCAGGGGCTCTGTATGCATCAGCTCCTGCGGGCCTCCCAGGGCCTGGCCCTGGGACGGCACTATGACTGCTGTTTCCAGCAGAAGATACTGGAGCAATGAGCCTGAGGTGGCCCATGACTTGCAGTGAGGCTAAGCTTTGAGTGCAGGCTCTTCTCCAATATCCTGAAGGTGGTGCCCATCCGACGTTCTTCGAGGGAGCCCCCCCGACCCGCCCCCACCTGGCCCGCTGGACCAAGCACAGCTCCAAAATGCAAGTTCTCAGTAAAGCATTTGTGGCTTAAACAGATGCAACTTCTGCATCGAATTTCTGTTTCAATGCACTCCAGGAGGCTGTGTGATGCCTTGAGCTGCCCAACGGTCCTGGCAGTGTGGGGCGTTCCTTGGCCCAGTCGTGTAATTCTGTACTTGCTCTGAAGGCATCAAGTGTGGGTCCAGGAACACAGAATTCAATAAGATCTTCCTAGTGATGACCCCCTCCCTCCTCTTGTCCGATTGAGGAAGATTCTAGTATAAATACCACATCTCTGTATTAGCATTTTCTAAAACTTCTGAAATGGGGGCGGGGGGGTGCCTGAGTGGCTTAGTCTGCCTTCAGCCCCGGTCATGATCTCCGGCTCCTGGGATCCAGCCCTGAGTCAGGCTCCCTGCTCAGTGGGGAGTCTGCTTCTCCCTCTTCCTGTCCCTCTCCCCACTCTCTCTCTTTCTCAAATAAATAAATAAAATAATCTTTAAAAAACCTTCTGAAATATGACCAGACTCCAGTCACCTTTCTGGTCCATGTCTTGCCCTCTCCAGGACTTCTGACCTGAGGGGATAAGCCCCTCACCCCCATGGACTCTGGCCCCTCCCCCAAGCTGTGGGACCCTCAAAGGCCATCTGGAGAGCAGGAGTGTTAAGTGAGGAGGAAATCCCCCTCCCAGCAGGAAAACCAGCCAGCTTTATTATGGATCCTATCACAATGCAAGTGCTGGTACTTCTGTGACTGAGCTAATCCTGTCACTGCGTAAATCAATAGGAAACCGACAAGAGGTGATTTAGGTTGTTCATTTTGGGAAGCTGGTCTTCCTATAACGCTGAAGCCAAGACAGTTGCCTGGGCACTTCCACAATAAATGCAAAGTTTAGCCTGAAAGGACCAGATCGGTTAATAAAATAAATTCAGATCCTACCAAATCAAAATTCAGATGCATTTTAGGCTCCTCGGTTCAGTGGGCTGAATCCCTTAATCTACCGAATTATTATGGAAAAACCCTTATCTCTGCCTGTCAAAATCACTGCTGTCTTGGGGGGGGACCCTCTTGGGAAGGACGAGTTGCTTCACAATAGCTAAGATTATGTGCAATGTACCATTATTTTGAAGACGGCCACAGACTTGAGGAAGTACAACACAGGATATGGGACAGAGCCAAGACAGAGTCCAGGTGACAGGGGCCAGAAAGGTGACAAGGGGTGCCCAGATGTGTTGCCGGTAAGTTACAGAGTGAGGCTTCTAATCTAGCCCCCTGACTCAGTCCAGCGTCCCTTCTCTGTGGTCAGGTAGGGTGACCTCAGGAAGAGACAGGCTGAGGGTTCTGGCTATGTGTCTGCCGGATAGGGGTGATGTGATCTCCTCCAGGGCAGCCTCGTTTACCCCAGGGCCTGCTGTTTCTTCAGTGGGTAGGGGCGGGCATGTGTCGACGGATGCAAGGGGCTTGCATTCTGCAGTGTGGGGCAGGCCTCAAGTGTCTGCCCAGGGAGCTGACCCCACTTGGCCAGGTGAAGGAAGGTGAGAGAAATTGCATCTAGGGCAGAAAAGAGGAAAACGTGTGGGAAATCAATCCCTAGATTCCAAGAGGGGCCCCTGGTAGGAGCCCTTGTGAATAAGGATTTGGCTTGTCCCTGTTGGGCCTCCCACCACACCTCCCGTTCTCCCACCTCCATTCGGGGTGACTCACGCCTGCAGAAAGGATGAATCATGTGGGTTACGAAACCCAAGGGCTCCTGAGAGGGAGGCTGGAAAGGACCTGGGGAAGCCACCTCCAGGGATCCTGCTGTCTCCCCACCCCTCCTGCCCCTCCTAGCCCAAGATCTGTGTGCCCTGTGAGCTCTATACAGGAATTTCTTCTAGACACTAATATCAGATCAGTGGTTTTGCCTTCCCACCTCAAGGCCTCCTGGGCCCATGTTTTGTTTCCTCTCCTGAATTAATCCGGGTAAAGGTTTGCTTTCCCCATGAGGTCAGTTAGGACTGACTGTTCCTAAAAGTAATGGGAGAGGAGATCCTGAAGGGGTGCTCTCCTCTCACCATTTGCTCCTTCATGGTGTGAACATTTCTGTAATTCTCCAGGGTGCACCAAATAATTAGCTAGTGCATTCTAGGCTGCTCCCAGCAGCAGGGGCAAGGATGATTCAACTCACTTTCCCACTGACTGGTCCCAGCTCCGTGGGAGCTTTTAAGAGTCTGCACAAGTGAACACCTACCATGTGGCGGGCCGTGAGCTCGTAAACACAAACGTTTATGGGCAGCCTATGGCGCGGCAAGAGCTCCTGTCATCCTCAAAACAGCCCGGGGTAGATCCTATTGTCATCCCCATTTCCAGGTGGAGCCCCGCTGTCAACAAGGACAGCAACGTGCCCGAGATCACGAAGAACGAAGTGGACAGCTTGGGGATTCACCTGTACCCCCTGCCTCCCAAGGTGGTCTGGAGCCTCGGGGCTGCACCCGTGGGTTTCTCCTGCGCGCTCACAGAACCCGGTTCATCTGCCAGCGGTCTCGCCCCAGTTAACGTGCCTGTTCAGTCAGGCCTCCTCCGGGACCTGGCCATGACTCCCCCTTTCCGCGCGGCTTCTTTCTCTTAGAACCCAGAGCCCTTGCAAGCCCACCATCTCACCGCGGGATGAGCAAAGCCACCCTTAGAGGAGATTAAACTCGACCTGGAGAATGAGGCCTCCAGGATGCCCGACGGGTGGGAGGGCGCTGGGGCCTCGGCCCACCAGTCTGGACTCACCTGAGCTGCCCCGGCGGCCCTCGGGGCTCCCGGTAGAACGCGCAGAGCCAAGGCCGCCTCTCGGGGCCGCCCCGGTCTGTCTGTCCCGAGAGCCCCAAAAGTCCGCGAGAAGTTCCCCGGTGGGGGGCGTTCCGGGGCCGCCCGCGCCGCTGGGCCCGCGGCTTGCGGCCGTCCCGGTGCGGGCCGCACGAGCGCGGGCCCAGGGGCGCCACCCGGCCGCGCGGGCGGGAACGCGCCGCGGCCGCCTCCTCCTCCCTCGCTCCCGCCCGCAGCGGCGGCGGCGGCGCTTCCCCGCCGCGGAGCGGCTTTAAAAGGCGGCACCCCACCCCCCGGCGCACTCGCCGCTCGGGCGCCGCGCGAGCCTGCCGCTGCCATGCCTCCGCGCGCGCCGCCTGCGCCCGGGCCCCGGCCGCCGCCCCGGGCCGCCGCCGCCACCGCCGAGGACGCGGACGCGGGGGGCGCCGGCGGGCCCGGGCTCCGGTCGCTCGCGCCGCGCCCCTGGCGCTGGCTGCTGCTGCTCGCGCTGCCCGCCGCCTGCTCCGCGCCGCCGCCGCCGCGCCCCGTCTACACCAACCACTGGGCAGTGCAAGTGCTGGGCGGCCCGGCCGAGGCGGACCGCGTGGCCGCGGAGCACGGCTACCTCAACTTGGGCCAGGTGAGTGCGGCCGGCTCCGAGCGCCCAAAACTTTCCCGGCCGCCGGTGGGCACGGCGCGAGGGGGCGCCTCCTTCCGGCTCGCGGCCGCGCGCGGGCAGGGGTCCCGAACGGCTCGGCCCGCGCGGTCGGGGGGCGGCCGGGGCGCCCTGCGTGGAGTCGCCGGGGGACGCGGCGCCCGGGACGCTCAGCGGGGCCCACCGGGCGGCCCGCGTGGGTTGGGGGGGGCGCCCGCGCAGGCCTGGCGCGCCCGGAGGGGCAGTTCCGAGGGCCGAGCGGCCCGGCGCGGGCACCTGCCCGGCGCGGCGGGAGAGGGATCCGGTCTCGGGCGCCGCGCTCTGCCCGCGGGCGCTGTCCTCAGTGCCCACCAAGCTCTTCTTGGCCTCGGAGCCCTGGCTCCGCTGCGCCCGGCCCGCGGGTCTCGACGGGCTGCGCGGGGCTCCGGACCCTGAGCGCACGCCAGGGCGTCCCGCCGCAACTCGGCGGTGACAGGCGCATGGCCCGGAGTCTCGGGGCCGTGGGCTTCTTCGGTGTCCGCGGATCGCGGAGGGGAGGGAGGGCGGCTAGGTGCTGGAATCTGGAAGCATCCGTCGTTGGCTTTGCCAGCGGCTTAGGATTCTGCAACCTCACAGGGGGCTGGAGGCAGGCGCTCCTGCCTTGAAAAAGCCTCCAGGCTCCTGGAATTTGCTTTGTTTTTAGGCTTCTGTGGCTGTTCCAATGGTAGCTCTCTACAAACTAGCTGTATGACCTTAGGCAAGTCACTTCCCCATCTTCTTCATCTGTAGGGGCGGTGTCAGTGTGTACCCGCCACAGTGTTGTGGAAGATACAGTGTTGGCTGGCAGCACAACCCCAGGCCAGGGCTTGACCCTGGTCAGTGAGCCCTCCCACGACCTGGGCTTTCACTATGACTGGGTTAGCAAAAGAGGACAAGCCCTGGGCAGAAAGGTGGCGTAACTCCGAAGGACCCTTGAGGCAAATCCCTTTCCCCTGCCCCAACCCTGCAGAGTGACCGTGGGGCAAGGGGTTGGTTTACGGCTGATGGAGGGGCTGCAGGGGACCGAAGTGTGCTGTCCCACCAGGGGACCTTTCGGCGCAGTTAACCAATCTCCTACATACTATACGCTCAGAGGATCAAGTGAAACGACAGGGAAGCACCAGCTCATAACTCAAGCTGTAATGCCAGGCAGTGTTAAATTTAGTTTCATCATTATCCGTGACAGAAGCCAGCAAAGTGTGGTGTGGCTCTAATGTAAATGACATTTCTTCTGCATCCTAATTCTCACACAGACGCTGCTAATGTGAGATGTGTGGCCTTTTGGAAAAGTAGATTTCTGCTCCTTGCTCTGTACTTCACGCGGTGGGTCCGAGTGTGTCTGGGAGAATGCCGTCCTGTCTTTTGTGTAGCTTGATCTGTCCATCTATATGCACTGCTCAGGTGTCTGCGAACGTTCTGTGATTGGAGTTTTTGCCTTTGGGCATCACTGGCTTCGTTTCTCCCCGTGGTTCTGAAATCTCCCTGGGTGATGTTCCAGACTGAGGAAAGTGGTCCTCAGGCTTACATCCCCATTCATGGCTAAGCCCCCCTCCCGCCCCCCTGCCAGCTCCTGCTACACCTCACTGCTCAGCCTAGGTGGCCTGGTAATTTGTCTTCAGCTAAAAGTGACTCTTCAGCTGCACGGTAAATTACAAAGGGCCTCCCAGACATTTCCACGAGAGCCACACACGCAATAGATTCCCCCTCGCCGTTCCTGTCCACCAGCATCAGAAATGCCAGGGCTTTGAAACAACTTCTGTCAGAGTTGAATTTCGTACGCAAAGTCTGCTGTTCTCATTTTGCCTGTGGGGCAGGTTCTTTCAGGTGTGTACCTGCCCCGATCTGGGACATTATGGGGGAGTCTCTCCAGGTCTCGCCAGCTCTGTCCAGGGCAGCCGCAGGGTGGACCGCACACAGCCTGGTCAACTCAACCTGGAAGGTGGGGGGCTGGGGTGGGGATGCCACTATGGAGACCTTTGCAAACAGAGGGGATTTGTTGGTTTCAGGATCCTGGCTGTCTCCAAGGCGCGCGCGCGTGTGTGTGTGTGTGTGTGTGTGTGTGTGAGAGAGAGAGAGAGAGAGAGAGAGAGATTACTCAAGGAGCACCTAATACTCTTTATTCCCAAACCAGCTTTTCTCCCTCCCTCCACCAAGTGAACTACTAATGTGGAAAAGGCCTGGAGCATTCCACCCTCTACCTGCTCAATAAGAACTCTTTAAAAACCTTATTTGCCTTTTTCAGCCAGGAGAATTTGTGTCTCATAAATAAGATGTAGATATTATTAGCTTTGATTTATGGATAAGCAAACTGAGGGGAAGCAAGGCATGGAAGCTGTTTGTGTCTACACAGAGCGTGTCGCCTCTGACAATTATGCTCCCTGCTCTTTTTCTCCTGCTACATTCTCTGGTCTAAGTGTCCTTTGTGTGACTCTTTCCCCAAACCCTTAATGGGCAATTAGTGTTATGCCCGGTACCTGCCCTGACTCACAGCCCTGCTTTTCTCCTGGGTCTTTGCGAAGCTCTAACTTCTGGCTCAAATGTTTTACCCCCTCTCATGCAACTAATAACCCGATTCCCTGTTATTTTACATGGTGCAAAGGTAATTGAGACGGTTATTCAGGTGAAAGGTTATTCACCTTTCTTGAACATGGAAGCCTTTCAGATCGATGGTGGCTCTGGATCTTCTCCTTTGAAAAATGTGCATCGTCAGGAACCAGACAAACTAACCTCTTTTTTACTTCTTTATTCATCATGATAGTTGAGGTCCTAGGTAATGTACCACAATGGAAAAGAAAGGAAGGAAGGAAAGTTTGGAAGAGTCAGATGTCGTTTACTGATAGGTGGCATAACTATGTGGATAATCTGAGAGGACCTAGAGACTATTATAAGTAGTCAGAGAATTGAGCAGGATGCTTGATAACAGTAGCAACCTATCCAAGAGCAGCATTCGAGAAGAGAAAAGAAATGATAATACGCTCTAACATAAAAGCCATTAGAAACCTAGGAATAGGGGCGCCTGGGTGGCTCAGTGGGTTAAGCCTCTGCCTTCGGCTCAGGTCATAATCCCAGGGTCCTGGGATCGAGCCCCGCATCGGGCTCTCTGCTCAGCAGGGAGCCTGCTTCCCTTGCTCTCTCTCTCTGCCTGCCTCTCTGCCTACTTGTGATCTCTGTCTGTCAAATAAATAAATAAAATCTTTAAAAAAAAAAAAAAGAAACCTAGGAATACGTTTTTGAAAAAATGAAACTTACCAGAAGATTTTAAAATATTTGAACGATGTATTGAAGAAGTGGTCTGACTAATGGAGGGATAAGCTATGTTCATGGACGGGAGGACTGATTATCACATGCCCCTCCCCCCCCATTAATCTCTAAATTCAGCGTAATTTAGTTGACGTGCCAACAGGGTTTTCTATGGGATATGAAATCACACAAACGTATCCTGAAATTCACATGGAAGAGTAAGTTCCCAGAATCCCTGTGACAACTCTGAGAAGGGAGGAGAGGGCGGGAAGTATATTCTGCCAGAGAATAAAACTTCCCATGAAGCTGGGGTGATTGTGACAGTTGGACGTTGGCCCCGGGGATGGTTCCTTGCAATAGTGGTGAATCAACTCAAACCCAGGCAGGTGTGGGAGCTTGTATGTGCGAACAGAACTGTTACAGATGGATGGGGAAGGGTAGGCATTTCAGTCAATGGCACCGAGAGAATTGAATCGGGAAAATAATCAGATCCTGACCTCACCTCACACTACCCAACAGTAAATGCCAGCTAGAAATAACTAGAGTGGATACCTTCATGGCTCTGGGGCAGGAAAGGATTTCTTAAACAAAACACGGAAAGAACAAATAAAGGAAGAGATTGAGCCATGAAGAGTTCTGTATAACACATCATAACAGGATAAAAGCATGTAATAGACTAGAAAAAGTTTTTATGGCTTATGACACACAAGTTAGTGCGTTGATTATTTAAAAATCTATATATCAGGGCAGCTGGGTGGCTGTCAGTTAAGCATCTGCCTTCAGCTCAGGTCATGATCCCAGGGTCCTGGGATCGAGTCCTGAATCGGGCTCCAGGTCCATATCAGGCTCCCTGATCAGGTTCAAGTCTGCCTCTCCCTCTCCCTCTGCCCCTCTATACCACCCCCACCCTGGCTTGTGTTCTCTCTCTCAAATAAATAAAATAAAAAGCAATCAAATCAATAAGTAAAAGAGAAACGCCAGGTAGAAAAGTGGAGAAGTATATGCATAGGGAGTTCAGTGCTCTGTCTGAAACACCCACCTCAAATTCAGGTTAGTAGTAGCCTCTTGGTGGGGTGGGGTGGGGTGGGCTGGGGAGCAGAAACCGGGAGAGGGAAGTCAAGTAGCCAGTAAACTTGAGAAAAGCCGCTCAGCCTCCCTGGAGGGATGGGAACAACACGACGTGGGGCAGTAAGGAGGGAGACTGCTTCATGCCATTGGATTGGAAGATGCAGAGAGGTGTTTGTTTCTAGTGCTGGCGAGGACGTGGAGCCCACGGAGCTTCCGGGTGCTGCTGATGGAAGTGGATATCGGGAGAACCACCTCGGAGCGCAG